AGGCATGGTGGTGGGCACCTGTAATCCCAACTACTTGGGAGGCTGAAGCAGGAGAATGGCGTGAACCCGGGAGGCGGAGCTTGCAGTGAGCCCAGATCATGCCACTGCACTCCAGCCTGGGCGACAGGAGTGAGACTCCGTCTCAAAAAAAAAAAAAGAAAAAAGAAAAAAGAAAAAAGTATTTGCAGTCTAGGGATTCAGGAGGTAGGTTCCAAAGATCCTTTAAAGCTCCTAAGTTCCTTGGTATTCTGGAGCTCATTCTTCACACTTCCGGTGAGTGCCATGCACTTAGGAATTGCTTTTTTTGTTTTTTTTTTGAGACAAGAGTCTTGCTCTGTTGCCCAGGCTACAGTGCAGTGGGGTGATCTCGGCTCACTGCAACCTCCACCTCCCGCGTCTGAGCAATTCTCCTGCCTCAGCCTCCTGAGTAGCTGGGACTGCAGGCGCGCGCCCACCATGCCCGGCTAATTTTTGTACTTTACTTAGTAGAGACGAGGCGTCACCACGTTGGCGAGGCTGGTCTCGAACTCCTGACCTCAGGTGATCCGTCTGCCTCAGCCTCCCAAAGTGCTGGGATCACAGGCGTGAGCCACTGTGCCCGGCCGGAATTGTTTTCATCTGAACCTCCTAGTGTGGTTGTAGGCAGGAATCCTTTGCTGTGCAATCCCGCCTATATCACTTGGATACTTTATGCAGCAGCCCACATCTCCTGCCACCTGCCTTCTCAGCTATGTCCAGGCAGCACAGGCCCCCTATCGACTGGGCAGGGAGTTACAGCCAAACCCTGTTCTTTCCCTTGTTGCTGCAGTTTCAATCCTAATTCCACTGGTAATTGGGGGAGCTTTGTTCCCTCTCCCCTTTTCTACAGAAAAGATCTGTTAAGGCTTGTATATTGGCCTATTCGTTGTCACCACTTAACATGCCACAGAATTTGTCTATCAACCAATGAATCCCAAGTACCTAGAACAGTGCCTGACACAAAGGTGGCCAATAATTTGCTAACCATCTCTCTAAATATGAAGTTGCTACTGGTTCTTTGAGACGTTAAACATAATTCCCTGGTGATTCGTCAGCCAGGGAAACTGCAAGGGGTACCAAAGAAGCTGCACTAACCCGGTAAAAGCTCAAACCCACAAGATTTCCGTGTACATTCACTCAGCTATGGCTCTTCAATAAGTCAGGCAATGGCATTACCTGTTACAATGTCAACAATTAGCCTAGATTTTTTTAAAAACAAAAGTGAACTCTCTTGAATCCCGGAACAGGGCTTGGCAATCTTTTTCCATCAAGAGCAAAGTAGTAACTATTTTAGGCTTTGCAGGCCACGTTATCTCTGTGCACAAGGGTGCATTTATACACATCAGTTATGCACATGGCTGTGAAACAAGAACATTTTACATGGACAGAAATTTTTATTTCAATTTTCAGATGGCATAAAATATTCTTAACTATTTAAAAATGTAGGAACTGTATTGTTCACAGACTGTACAAAAACAGGCGGTGGCTCATGCCTGTAATCCCAGCACTTTGAGAGGCAGAGGTGGTGGATCACCTGAGGTCAGGAGGTCGAGACCAGCCTGGCCAACGTGGTGAAAGCCCGTCTCTACTAAACATAAAATTCTGGGATTGCTGTTTCCCTGCACTAGACGTGAATGGGGGAGGTGATCGATTGTAAAAACCACGAGAGGTCGGGCGTGGTGGCTCACGTCTGTAATCCCAGCACTTTGGGAGGCTGAGGCAGGTGGATCTGAAGGTCAGGAATTTGAGACCAGCCTGGCCAATATGGTGAAACCCTGTCTCTACTAAAAATACAAAAACTAGCCGGGCGTGGTGTGGGGCACCTGTAATCCCAGCTACTCAGGAGGCTGAGGCAGGAGAACTGCGTGAACCCGGGAGGTGGAGGTTGCAGTGAGCCGAGATCGTACCACTGCACTCCAGCCTAGGCAACAGAGCCAGACTCGTCTCAAAAAATATATATATAAAATAAAATAAAATTTGCATAATCAGTCCCTTACACTAAACACACTTCAAGCATATGGTAGCCAGAGAACGTTTCTATCACTGCAGAAAGTTCTACTGGATACTGTTGTTAGGTTTGGCAGGGAAGGGAGAATTCAGTACTTGACAAACCACAATACAACAGCAATTGAAATGAAAGGCCTCACATATTTATTACTGAACCCAGCCAACCAACGCATTCATAATAGATTCAGAGAGGAAAATACGTCGAACTCTCCAGAGAGTGGTGACATTTTCAGTCTGATACGGTAATGTGATCGTGACCTTCAGACAGCACAAATATATGTGCCATCTCATGTGCAATTCCTTATAGACCCAGCTTGGTTCTTCTCCAATGTCTCCTTTTGGAGTTGTACCTTATTTTATTTCCAGTTTTCATCCGAATCCACTGGGGAATGGGACGATTTTGCTTTTGTTTCTTGGCCAGGAATCGCTTAATCCTGAAAGT